CGCCGCACGGGTTTTAACCACCGTCACGGGTTGTAAACACACCGTCACGGTTGTAACACACCGTCACGGGTTGTAACACACCGTCACGGGTTGTAACACACCGTCACGGGTTGTAACACGCCGTCACGGGTTGTAACACGCCGTCACGGGTTGTAACACACCGTCACGGGTTGTAACACACCGTCACGGGTTGTAACACACCGTCACGGGTTGTAACACGCCGTCACGGGTTGTAACACGCCGTCACGGGTTGTAACACACCGTCACGGGTTGTAACACACCGTCACGGGTTGTTTAAAACGCCGTCACGGGTTTGTAACACGCCGTCAAAGGGTTGTAACACCTACCGTCACGGTTTTTAACACACACCGTCACGGGTTGTAACACGCCGTCCCCGGGTTGTAACACGCCGTCACGGGTTGTAACACGCCGTCACGGGTTGTAACACGCGTCACGGGTTGTAACACGCCGTCACCGGGGTTTTAACACACCGTTACGGGTTGTAACACAAACCCTCACGGGTTGTAACACACCGTCACGGGTTGTAACACACCGTCACGGGTTGTAACACACCGTCACGGGTTGTAACACGCCGTCACGGGTTGTAACACACCGTCACGGGTTGTAAAAACACGTCAGGGTTGTAAACACGCCGTCAAAGGGTTGTAACACACCGCACGGGTTGTAACACACCGTCACGGGTTGTAACACGCCGTCACGGGTTGTAACACGCCGTCACGGGTTTGTAAACACGCCGTCACGGGTTGTAACACGCCGTCACGGGTTGTAACACGCCGTCACGGGTTGTAACACACCGTTACGGGTTGTAACACGCCGTCACGGGTTGTAACACGCCGTCACGGGTTGTAACACGCCGTCACGGGTTGTAACACGCCGTCACGGGTTGTAACACGCCGTCACGGGTTGTAACACAGCCGTCACGGGTTGTAACACGCCGCACGGGTTGTAACACGCGTCACGGGTTTGTAACACCGCCCCTCACGGGTTGTAACCACCGTTACTGGTTTTACACACCGTCAGGGTTGTAACACACCGTCACGGGTTGTAAAAACGCCGTCACGGGTTGTAACACGCCGTCACGGGTTGTAACACGCCGTCACGGGTTGTAACACACCGTTACTGGTTGTAACACACCGTCACGGGTTGTAGCAACACACCGTCACGGGTTGTAACAACACACCGTCACGGGTTGTAACAACACACCGTCACGGGTTGTAACAACACACCGTAACGAGTTGTAGCAACACACCGTCACGGGTTGTAACAACACACCGTCACGGGTTGTAGCAACACACCGTCACGGGTTGTAACAACACCAACGTCACGGGGTTTTAATAACACACCGTCACGGGTTGTAATAACACACCGTCACGGGTTGTAACAACACACCGTCACGGGTTGTAATAACACACCGTCACGGGTTGTAACAACACAACGTCACGGGTTGTAATAACACACCGTCACGGGTTGTAATAACACACCGTCACGGGTTGTAACAACACACCGTCACGGGTTGTAATAACACACCGTCACGGGTTGTAACAACACACCGTCACGGGTTGTAGCAACACACCGTCATGGGTTGTAACAACACACCGTCAAAGGGTTGTAAACAGCACACCGTCAAAGGGTTGTAAACACACCGTCACGGGTTGTAACAAACACACCGTACACGGGTTGTTAACAACACATCGTCACGGGTTGTAGCAACAAAAACCGCACGGGTTTTAATAACAACCGTCACGGGGGTTTTAACAACACACCACGGGTTGTGTAGCAACACACCGTCACGGGTTTAACAACACACCGTCACGGGTTGTAAAAAACACACCGGCACTGGGGTTTTTAATACACACCGTCACGGGTTGTAACAACACATCAGTACGGGTTGTAATAACACACCGTCACGGGTTGTAACAACACACCGTCACGGGTTGCAGCAACACACCGTCACGGGTTGTAACAACACACCGTCACGGGGTTGTAAACAACACAACCCTCACGGGTTGTAGCAACACACCGTCAACGGGTTTAGTAGCAACACAAACCCTCACGGGTTGTAACAACACACCGTCACGGGTTGTAACAACACACCGTCACGGGTTGTAACAACACACCGTCACGAGTTGTAGCAACACACCGTCACGGGTTGTAACAACACACCGTCACGGGTTGTAGCAACACACCGTCACGGGTTGTAACAACACAACGTCACGGGTTGTAAATAACACACCCTCACGGGTTGTAATAAACCAAACCCTCACGGGTTGTAAACAACACATCTTACGGGTTGTAATAAACACACCGTCACGGGTTGTAACAACACCCCCGTCACGGGTTGTAATAAAAACCCCCGTCACGGTTGTAATAACACACCGTCACGGGTTGTAACAACACACCGTCACGGGTTGTAATAACACACCGTCACGGGTTGTAACAACACACCGTCACGGGTTGTAGCAACACACCGTCATGGGTTGTAACACCAACATCCGTCACGGGTTGTAGCAGACACCGTCACGGGTTTTAAAAACACCGTCATGGGTTGTAACAACACACCGTCACGGGTTGTAACAACACATCGTCACGGGTTGTAGCAACACACCGTCACGGGTTGTAATAACACACCGTCACGGGTTGTAACAACACACCATCACGGGTTGTAGCAACCACACGCCCCGGGGTTTTAACAACACACCGTCACGGTTGTAACAAACACACCGTCACGGGTTGTAATAATACACCGTCACGGGGTTTTAAAAACAATCCCTTACGGGTTGTAAAAACACCCGTCACGGGTTGTAACAACCCCACCGTCAC